GGCTGGAACAGGACTCCCAAGGGAAAGCCAGCAGGACAGAGAGCTCTGGGCCCCCAGCAGGAAGCCCACCTCCACCCTTCCCCATGCACAAATCCAGGGGGGTACATGCTTCTCCCAGGGGTGCATGTAGATGTGGGGAGCCACCCACCCTCCCTACACCCCCCACTGCAGCCTTTGGATGAGCTGCCATGGCACTGTAGTCCCATTTACCGCCTTGGCTGGGCAGTTCCCCCAGCCGCAGCACCTGCCCCTGCCCCAGCCCCTCTCCCTCCCTCTATGTGGGGGCCTCGATCTGCACCCCCTCATTCCCCTTCCCTCCCCTCCCTTCCTCTGCCTCTTCCCCTCTGCGGATTTACCTGCAGGGCACAGCTCTCCACCCTGCCGATCTGCACTCCTGGCCACATGCATGCTGTGGTTGTGCGCATGCATGCCGAGTCCAGGAGCCTCGGCCAAAGGGCATATTGTATTTATCAGTACATGATCGGCTACACAGGCCAAAAAAAAGCCAATTGCCAATAATGTTCATTTTCTTTTTATCCTTGGTGATCCAATATGGTACCAATATTTTGGTGCACCTCCAGTATTTTGAACTATGATACAATTGCCTCTAGATACATGACTCAAACACACATAAATCAGGACAAAAATATATGTTTTAAATACAATTAAAATAAGTTATGGTAGATTTTTTATTTCTTTAGTATACCATTTGTTTATTTTTTTCTGGTGTCAAGATGCCAGCACCCCACCTTCCAAAAGGAGGACTTGCGGAGCAAGGGGATGGACATCCACTGGCAAAGGTCAGGGGTGAGGGGGTGGGACTTGCGGTCCCAAGACAAACGACCAGGGGGTGGGGCACCCATCAAGGGGTCGGGCTAACCTTGCAGCCCTCCCTGACCTTGACTAGCAGGGGTCAGAGACACAACTGATCTTGCCCTGAGCTGGGGCTGGACTAGTTGGAAAGGAGGGGAAAGAACCTCTGGTCCTTAACGGTTTGGGGCAGAATCAGATCCTGCTTAGACACCGCAGGCCCTGGGAGAGCCCCCAACACCAGCCCTCACCTCCCACTGCCCCAGAGAGCTCTGGGCCCCCAGCAGGAAGCCTGCATCCACCCTTGCCCCATGCACAGATCCAGGGGGGCACATACTTCTCCCAGGGGTGAGCAGAGTGGTGGGGGGCCTCACCCCTCCCCACATACCCCCTGTACCCTCTAGATGAGCCGCCAGGGCACTGCGGTCCCATTTACAAAGCTGGTTGGGCAGTGCTCCCAGTCCCAGCCCCTCTCCCTCCCTCACTGTGGGAGTCTCGATCTGCAACCCCCCATGCCCCTTCCCTCCCCTCCCCTCCCCTCCACCTCTTCGCCTCCAGATTTACCTGCAGGGCACAGCTGTCCACCCTGCTGGGTCCACCTGCTGGGTGGACTCCTGGCCACGTGCATGCTGTGGTTGTGCGCATGCATGCAGAGTCCAGGAGCCCTGGCCAGAAGGCATGTTATATTTATTGGTACGTGATTGGCTACATCGGCCAAAAAAAAGCCAATTGCCAATAACGTTAATTTTCTTTTATTGGTGGTGATCTGATATGGCACTGATATTTCAGTGCACCTCCAATATTTTGAGCTACGATGCAATTGCCTCTAGATACATGACTCAAACACACATAAATCAGGACAAAAAATATGTTTTAAATACAATTAAAGTAAGTTATGGTAGATGTTTGATTTATTTAGTATACAATTTGTTTCTTCTTTTTTTTGGTTTCAAGGTGGCAGCACCCCCACTTCCAAAAGGAGTAGTTCTGGAGGAAGGGGATGGACATCCAGTGGCAAAGGTCAGGGGTGAGGGGTTGGGACTTGCGGTCCCAAGACAGTGACAAGGGGGCAGGGCACCCATCAAGGAGTGGGGCTAACCTTGTGGCCCTTGACATCTCACCATAACACATTAAGCGGCGCTCCAGTTAAAATAATTACACCCCCCTCCCAGGTCTAGATGCTGCTGGGCGATAGGAACGGGAGGTCCAGCCTGGCCTTGCTGGGCACCTGGGCCCCCGGCCCAATTCCCACGGCAGAGCCTTTCAGGCTGATCAGCCAGGGCCAGAGCAGGGTGAAGCCAAGAGGGTGGCCCTGCTGAGCCTCTCTGGCCTGGCCGAGCTGCCATCGGTGCCTCCAGGGTGGAAACCCCAGCAGTCACAAGGCCTCCTGAGCTCCATAATTACAGTAGGGGATGGGGTGTGAAAAACCAGAGTCCTCCTGCAGTGCCCGGGCACAGGCTGAGCATAGCTCTCCTGGGACTAGGGATGCTGCTGCCTATGGCCAGGCCAAGGGATGGGGGCAGGAGCCTGGCAGCTGAGTGCTGGGGAAAGGTGTTGCAGGGGGCTTCTGCTGAGTAACTCTCCTCCCCCTCCATCTCTGCCAGCCGCACGAAGCAGGAAGACCTTGGGGGCACCTGGTTCCACGGCCACCTCCTGGCCGGCCCAGCCCCAACCGGAGACTGGTCCGGGTGCGGGTTCCGCTCCAGAACATGCCACCGCGCTGCCAGCAAGAAGGGGACAGTGTGGGGAGAGGCCCGGTGCCCGGGGACAAGAGCCTGGTGAGTGGCTGTGAGGGGTTGGCAGAGCCATGCCCTGTGCCTGCTCCCAGCCCTCCTGCCCCCCAGACTGCAGAGATGCTCAGTCCCAGCAGTATACTCAGTGTCAGTCTCCAGCGCTTGTTCTGTGCCACAGGGCTGAGTGGACTGGGGCTGCTCGAGGGCTGTCCTGAGATTTGGGCACTGAAGCCTCAAACCTGCCTGGGGGATGAACAGGGCTTTTTGCATCCATCAACAGCTCGAGTGCCTGCAAGCTGGTCTGGCATGGTCCTGCCAGACCAGGGCTGTGGGTGTTCAGTCAGTGCAGGGTGCACCCAAAAGATCAAGGCCAGGAAAGGGCTGTTCCTGGAGAGGGCTGTCTTCAGGTCTGCAGGATCCAGCACGTGTGGCAGTCCATCCCTGCTGAATGCTTGGCTTTCCCAAAAGCCAGACTTCCAATCCCCTCTTTCCAAGGACCCTCTGACTCACCACCTTCCCTTGGGGCAGGTGGTCCAACCCTTTTGCACTGCCCTGACCTCCCACTGGAGCAGATAGAACTGAAGTGTGGGTTAGACCCACCAGAAGGGGAGTCCATGGGGCCAGTCCAAGTAGTCGTTTTTCCATGTGTCTGGACTAGTACCAGCACGTTTGACTGGCATTGAACCCAGTCGGATCCACACAGCAGCTAAATGAATATATCCTGCAAGAGCTGGTCACCGGAGCTGGAAGGGGACCAGTGTTCGGCACAGGTTAGGGGCTAGGGGATCAAAGCTTTAGGGGTAGGAGATTGTTTCCTGTGTGCTGATTCCACATGAACCAGCCCAAATCCTTGACACGGAGCTGAACTGGAGCTGGGGCTCCAAAGGTGACTGGTGTCATCTTCAAGCTGGTAAGCGCATCCAGAAGTTCACTCCGCAGAACATTTGCAAAATGCCACTGTGAAAGATCCACTGTGTGAACACTGCACATGCATGTTAATGCTGCACGTGGTTGCATGTCGCTGGGCACATGTGAGAATGCTACACACACTTGAGTGACCCAACGCATGTGCGCACACACACATATATGTGTGACACCATCACAGCTTTGCCAATGTCTGCTGGTGCATGGGTGGAGGGAAGAGGTCAGTGGCTTGGGTGGCCCTGTGGCTCACAGAGCTGGGGTTGTACTGTGGCAGGAGCAAGAAGCAGAGTTTGAAATGCAGCAGAATATCCACCACAAAAAGGAGCTGGAGATGGCCCATCTGAGAGCCCTGCAGGAGAGAGCCCAGAAGCACCAGGCTGAGAAGGTAATGCATGCGGCAGCTCCTGCCCTAGCTCTCTCCCTGGCCTTCTGGCCACCTGGGACACAGCAGAGTGGGAGGGCCTCACACCCACGCACCTGTGGGGCATAGTGTGGGATGCTTCTGCCTGGGACTGCAGCAGGGCAGACTGAACCCCAGCTGGAGCCCTAGGGCTGAGCAGGACGCAGGTTGGTGTGCAGCAGCCTGGGGCCTCAGGTAAGAGGACGTTAGATCCCCAAAGCAGGCAGGCAAGGCTCCACAGATTACCTGGGTCCTTCCAGCTTTGTCATTACAGCCAGCACCATATGTGGAGCAGGAGTGGGAGGAGAGCCCAGTTGGCTCTATACAGCCCCAAGAGGAGCCAGGCAATGGCAGCCCAAGGGTTGGGGCTGGCTCCCTGGGGCAGCAGGAGCAGTATCTCCCCCTGGCTTCTTGCTGCCTGGGCAGTGCAATCAATGCTTCCCTCCTGGCAGGATGTTCTCCGGGTCAAGCAGCATCAGGAGGCCAAGGAGAAGGAGTGGCTGTACAGAGAGATGGAGGCCATGCTGAAGCAGAGCCGCTTGGAGCAGATGGACCGCAGGCGTGCCTCGGTCATACAGGCACAGCAGAACCGCAGCTCTTTCCAGCAGATCCTCAGGTAGTGCGAGGCGTGGCCTGGCCCCGGGATGACAGCGGGGTTGCAGGCCCTGGAGAGCGTGCCTGTGGGGGAACTAAGCTAGGGCACATCAGGCTTGCCCTCTGCAGCTCTGGCTGAGCCTGGGGTGCACGAGCTGCGGTGGAGATGACCTGGCTCGGGTAGACGTAGGACCCCATGTATGCGGGAGGGGGGTGGGCCAGCCCCAGCAGGAAGGTCATGGCCTTTCCAGCCTGGGCTGGCCCCTATCACCAGCACTGGCATTTCCCCCAGGGAGCAGGCACTGAAGGAGCAGAGGCAGCAGGAGAAGTGGGCGACCCAGAGAATGGTGGATGCCAGGGACATTCAGCGCCAGATGCAGAAGTATCAGGAGAAGCTGGCATGTAAGCGGGTTGTCTCCTTTGAGGACAAGAAGCATCTACAGAAAGAGAGACAGTGGCATGCTGACCACATTGCGCAGCTCAAGAGGCAGAGAATAGAGGAGCTCCGGTGAGGGTGGGACTATGTAGGGGCTGGACTGTGGGTGCTTGCAGGGGTGCTGGTCTCGGGGCACTGCCCACCACATCTGGCACAACTCATGCTGTCTCTCCCTTTGCCATGTCCTAGGGCAAGCTGAGCCCCTGAGACTTGCCAGCTGGTGCGGGAGCAGGGCAGGGGGCCCGGGCCCTGGGCTAAGGGCAGGACGGCTGCAGCAGGACTGGCCAGGCCAGTGGTGGGAGCTGGTTGGGAGGGCGGGAGGCAGTTCACCTTACTGGGTGCTGCCCCAAGCTGCCCTTCCTGCCACCTGCTCTGAGCCTCGTTTCTGCCCTCCATGCTCCCGTGCTCACTGGGGGCTGGCTGTCCCCATGGGAGCGAAGCCAGAGCAGGGTCCCTCCAGCTGGGCTCAGCCGTCACCTGTTGTCACAAGTCAGCCCTGGTCCCAGGGGTCCAAGGTGCCAGATGTGTTGCTGGGCCCCTTGCGGTTGGCTCTGGGCCCTGGCACAGATGGAGATGCCATGGCAGGTGGCCCTGTACCATGTCTTGCTCCATGGCAGTGGTCTGGGCTCTTACTAACTTTTTTCCGGTTTCCAGAGCCACCAGCCCACCCGAGAAATACTGCCTAGGTGTGGAGCGTGTGGGCTTGATGAAGCCAGGCCCCAAGGACCGAGGGTCTCTGCACACTGCCCAGCCCACACAGGGGGACTTCCAGGGGGTCGTGTGTGGCCTCCCCCCAGCCTAGACTGTTTATATTCTTGGATTTAGAAATTGTAAATAAATGTTTGTGAAGGTTTACCATACGTCTGGGTTTTCCTGGACATGTCCACTTTTTGGGTGCCCCCATCTGGGTGTTTTTTTTAAATATCAGCAAATGTCCAGGATTTTGCTTTACCTCTGCCCCAGCAAAGGAGTTGCTGGGGACAGCGGGGAAAGGTGATTGGAGGCAGGGCATCACATGCAGCTGCAGGCAGCTGAGAGAGAGAAAGTGTGTGTGTGTGTGTGTGTGTGGGTGGGTGGGTGTGGGCGTGGGCGTGGGCATGCTTGCCAGTGCTGGGTCTGCAGCAGAGTGGGGGAAGGGAGCGGAGGGGTTCTTCGGGGGCAACAGGGCTTGGGGGGGCAGGGGGCTGCAGGTCAGGAGCGAAGGGTATCAGCAGGCCCTGCTGCCACTGTGTCCCACTGAAGGAGGAGAGTTGGACCTCGCCCGGTTTTATTTTGGAGACTCACTGGTGCCCCTGGAGTGCAAGGCTCCGTTATAGCAGAAACTTAGTGCTATGCCCAAGGTCTTCTTGCTCCACGAATGAGACATGGGGTTGGCCATAGGGATAGAGCACCACATACTGCTACAAGACACTAGAGCATTTACTGAACGATCAAAGGCACTTGCCTTCCATGAGCTGGCTGCCCGGCCACAGAAGGCACGTGGTGTCGTGTGCAGCTCCCCATGTTCAGACCCCAGCATGCAGCAGCAGCTGCCCCCACCCCACATATAAATCTGGGGGGGCAGGTAGCCCCTGTGCCTAACCTGGGGTGCACACAGGTGGGAGTCTCCCTGATGCCCTGGCAAAGCCCGTGTCATTCCAGGCAAGATAAAAATGGGCTTGGGATATGACGCTGAGCTCTGCAGGCTCAGACTGTAGCGGGCGGGTGGGGGTGCCGAGCGACACCGAAGGTGGGGCCTGGCTGGGCCCGTGCAGCTCCACAAGGGGATGCCACCGGGCTCAGGGGGGCTTTCAGCTCTGGGCTTGGCCTCCCTGCACACTGGGCACAGTGCGAGCAGGGCAGAGCCATCCCTGCTGCAAGGGCCTGGCCACAGGAGCACCTGGGAACAGCTGCCCGCAGCTGCCCCAGCCTGCCTGAGCCCTGGCCCTGCCCACCTGCAACTGCCCTCAAGGGGCTGGGGCCAGGGCAGGTGCTGCGCGGGGGCGGCTGCACCGCAGGCTCCCAGCCGGCTCGGCTCTGAGCACTGCCTGCAGTGGCTATTTCCGGAGCTCACGGAGTCCATGCTGTGGCCCAGGGGGCTCCATCCAACTTGTGCTGCACCTGCATGCACAGAGCCCAAGCCAGGAGTCCCCCGAGCCTGGTGTCCTGCCCTGGCCAGGCAGCGTTCCCTTGTGGGCAGGGCGGCTGTGACCCATCCCCGTGGGGCTGCACAGCCTGGGCTGGGCCCCACCCCTGGTACTGCTGAGCATCCCCCCTGCAGCCCGAGTCAGTGGAGCCCCAGGAGAGCTCCTGCTCCCCACCTGGCCCCTGCTCATCTGGTTGCAGCCTTCCCAAGGGCCAGCCAGGCCAGCCTGCCTGCAGTGCCTCCCCTGTCCCCCCCAACACCTGCTCTCCCCATGCCTCTCCCCTCTCTTTTTTTTCTCCATCTCTCTCTTCCCTCCCTCTCTCTCTTCTCTTTCTTTCTTTCTCCTCTCTCTCTCCCCATCTCTCTTCTCTCTTCCTTCTCTCTCATCACAATGTGCTTAACAAAAAAGAAGACACAAGAACAAAGGTAGCACATGAGGTTTTATTTATTGTCACCAGGTTTAGAATTTTTAGAAAACCTGCTATTTACTGTGAAAAAAAAAAAAAAAAAGAAGCAGCCACATTTATGATTATTAACTATATTAATCTGCAGTGTGTCCTGCCATGCAGCCCCCGCCCCAGGTTTGTTTTTCTAGGGTGTCGGCACTCTGGCACCTTACAACATACACAAAGCAGTTTTTTTCAGTGCCCTGGCCAAAAACGTTGCCTACCCCTGGTTTACACCGTCTTTTTTTCCAATTTACAATTGTTTTATATGGCTACCGTAACCGGTAAAACAATGTTTTATGATTACTAAAGGTTTTGATGTTGTATTAATACACAGCCTGTTACCTATGTGTATGAAAAATTTGCTGGTGGTACTTAAGCCTGTATCCTTTTGAATTGGTAGTACTCAATCTGTCAGTCTGCAGACTGCTGGAGTAGGGCATATTTTAAGTGCTGATTCCCTTTGCTCTCTGCCCCGATGGCACTGGGGTCCCTCTCTGCTCGGTGTTCTCCAAATGTAACTGTGTCACTTGGGCCTGTGGGTTTACTACGCTGAGGATTGCTTACTGCTTCTTGCACATTATTTACCTTGAAAATTCTGTAACGATTGGGTTGTTATTTATTTAAGTTAGGGTGAATCAATCATTAAAGGTTAATTATGTAAAAGAGAATTACCCGGCTCCTTTTCTTTTGTGTCTGCTATCTAACTTCACTTGCAAGTTCTCTGAAACAGCAGGGAAGGTTGTTTAACCAGTACTTGAAAACCCAGGGAATCCCCAAGCGGAAACAGCATGGCACTTTGGGGGCCCCATGGGGGGGGGCAGAAGTGGATTAAGATTTCTTGGGGCCCTGGGCCCCCCTCCTAGGGCCTGGGCCTTCCCCACCACCCCGTGCTCTGCCCCACAGCTGTAGGTGCCCTCCCTGACCTGCGCTGCAGGAGTGCATGACAGTCCTGCACTGCTCCCCTGGCCCAGGGCCTCCCACCCCGTGCCGTGTCCCACAGCTGTGGGCTCCCTGGGTGGCACCACAGGACAGCGGGTCACGTTGCCCCCCCAGTCCAGCCCCAGGCCCCCCCACCCTGTGCCCTGCCATGCAGCTGTGGGAGCAGGCAGCCAGGACATGCATGTGCACGCGCGCGCACACACACACACAAATATCAGCTACAGACTGCGTTCAGTCTGGGACAGGGGCAAGGGCATGGGCAGGTAATTGGGTGACAGCATCTTTGTCACCCTGGCCAGGGCATGGTGGGATCATGAGCAGTGGGGTGTCCATCTGCGGGTATCCATACAGGATAATGAATACTGATGCACGTTGAGCTGGGTGGACCGCTGCATCTGCATCTGCTGTGCTACACCTGGCATTCAAGGAAACACCTTACACCCATTTATTGAAACAGGGCAGCTGCAATTGGGACCCACATTTGGTGGACACAGAGGTGAACTACAAAATAATCACACTGGCATCTGGTGGACAAAGAGGATCATTACATGTTATTGAGTGCCTTTGCTTTTGCAGCAACGAAGCAATGGATGTGACACTTTCAGTCGTGGTGAGCCAAACTAAACAACATCCAAGGAATTTTAGTTTAACACACCAGAAAGACTTTTAAAGCATCCAGAAAACCTGCTTGTGCAAACAGTCATGCCATTGCACTGCAATGACGGGCAAAAAACGTGACGTGTACAAACTATCAAGGAGGAGGAGGTATCAAGTGATGTTCCTTAGGGATCTGTCTTAATCGGTATCTTTATTAATGATTACAGGACTGAAAGCATGCTTAACAAATCTGGTACCCTGGAGGGCAAAATTAGGATCCAGAATAACCTTGATAAACTGGAGAAATTGTCCAAAGTTGATGAAACACAATAGAATAAATCCTGAACTTGGGACCGAACAGTCTCATGCACCAGTACAGACTGGCCAGGCCGCAGGACTGCAGGCAAGGATCGGGGGGTTTAGCTGACCATAAGCAGCGTGTTCTTGCTGCAGAAAAAGCCAGTAGCACCCTGGGCTGCGTTGCCTGCAAATCAAGGGATGCAATTCTTTTGCTCTGTTCAGCACTTACAACACAAACGGTTCCTGAAAAACGCATCTTCAGTCAAAACGTTGTCACTCGGAACCAATTTTCTCATAAGAAACCATGTTATAAATGGGGGATTGGTTCCTGAACCAAGGCCCGATACCCTTTTTTCACTAAAAATACCCCAGAATTTTGTACTAAATCAATTATAGATGAGTAATATAGCTACATTATGCATGTACATGGTTAACAGGATTCACATTGACTTGGAAGGACTTCTTTGAGGTGACTTTGCTGGACTTTTTGAAGAGTTCTCGGCTGGTGTCTTCTCAGGAGTCCCGGCGGCAGGTTTTTCTGGAGTCTCACCTGCTTTCTTAAAGAAAGCGTCCAAGGAAGTTTGCACAGATGAGATGAGCGACCCAGTGAACTTGTTCGCCAGCGTGGCGACGTGCCATAAAGTCGCAACTGAGGTCAGAAGTTGAAACAGGGCGTCCGTTTATAAACGCTGTAGGTGGGAAACGTTGCAACTCGAAACGTTGTACAGCGCTGCGTGTAGTCCAGGGGACAGGGCAAGAAGTAAAGCGCAAGAAGCGCAACTGAGGCTGCGGACTGCGCAGAGCTGGACGCCCGGAGCGGGTCAGCCCAGGCAGCGCCGCCCCCACCCACCAGGGGCGCACGCGCGCCGTACGCTGGGCCGCATCCCGCCCCCACGGGCGCAGGAAGCCGGCCGCGCT